TCGTTCATTTCTGATGTCCATTTCATCCGTTGGCGTGGTTTTCCAGCCTTTGTGGTCTGTGGATGCATTGCCACAGAAACACCAAGGCTAGGTTGGTTCCTCACATCTGTTGAGGGCATTGCAGTAGCCATACTTGGGCCAGTGCTGCTTTCGCCACTGGTAACCAAGGGAGACTGGAGCCTATTTTTCGAACGTGAGCCTCTGCCTAACCCACGAACGCGGACCTTGTTAACCCGGGCGACGTCCGAGCCGGTATCATACTTTGATCTGGTTACTACCATCATAAATTTCTCCACAGAATGTGGGTGTGTGGTCACTCTTAGCTTCATTTCTCCCCATAGACCTTACTGGCATGGGTGTCTCTACCAGGAGCTTGTGCTCCAGCCTGCATTGCCCTATGGTTCAGTAAAATTACTGGGCTCTCCCACCACGACCAGGTGGTGACCACGGGAGAGTTATTATTATTATTATTATTATTATTATATGTGGAAGTTATAAATCTTTATTTAAATTCATCAAAGCAGTAATGTCTAATTTTAAAAAAGTGAAAATATTGTAGAAAATTACTAATTGGTAATATAATGAAGATATCTATTTACTTTTTGAATATCATGCAACACTCAAGGATACTGAAATGCACAATTTATATTTATACTTAGATGTTTTGAATGCGTAAAGATCAAATTTTAATTTTTGTTAAATAAATTTAATGTGTAAAAAAAAAATAAATAAAAATTATTCAATGCATTTTAGACAATAGGCTATACTTTGGACATTATATATCTATTTCTGTCATCAACAAATAATATATTGGACTGTATTTTATAAATCATTTTTATTGTGGGATGAAAGCTATAAATATTTAAAGGTAAGTAAAAAGTTTGGTCATTGGTAATGATAACTAAAATTGCAAATTAAATTTTAACATAATAATTTTTCAATTACAATATACAAATATGTTATTAAAAATATTTTCCTTGGTTTTGTATGATAGTATATAAACCTTAGTTTTTCTCTTGTATATTTGTGAATGTGAAAATATCATATTAGAACATATAAAATGCTTAAGATAAGTTTTTAAAAAATTTTCATTAACTCCATTCCATAATTCAAATTATTTATACTATTTAATTTATTTTCATTTAAATTTCATTTAGAATCAGCAAAGACAAATGTTTTGCAGAAAATACTTTATTGATAATAAGAATCTTTATAAAAAGAAAACATAATAATGCAATATATATATATACAGTATATATATAATGTTAACATTATTCTTATCAAAAATTTTTTGAAATCAATTTAATCAGCTTGTAGACATGCATGGCATTGTAAACTTATTTCAGTTTTTTTTAATAGAGTGGATCAAAAGTTCTATTACTCTTAAAAAAATGTACTACACGAGATTTCTTGATTACAATTGATAATAACTATTGAAGAAGACATTAATAATTGTGTATCAATTTGAACTTTCATACTACCTTTCTTGAAAGCAATTATAAGAATTGAGAGTTAATTTTATTACATTAAGATAGTATACAACTAAAGATCTGTTTACAGATCTTTAGTTGTAATACCATCTTTAGTTGTCTAAATTAACTTCTTATAGTATATGTCAGTAAGAGATGACTGCACTTTGTCTTGTGCTTAAGAATGCAAATTTAGAAATATAAAGTCATTAGAAAAAAGTAATAAGATGTTTGTATTAATATTTCTGACAAAATATCTAATCATGTTATCTAAAACAAAATCTAATCTATTGAGATATGGAAATGCAATCAGAATATTTATTTTGCAAAAAATTTTCAGAATTGATTCAATAGAATGTTAACATTTATAAGTAGAAACAAATTAGATAATTTGCTAAAGATCTTAAATTTAACATTTTTTACTCATTTCAGTAGCAGATATACAGTGTTGTTGATTTTAATCAATCCATTGGAATAACTTGAAAAATATGCAAATCTACAAAAAAATTATTGAACAAAAATGTTAAGGGTGCCACAAGATGTTGGTTTCATCATAGATTGTACTATATTCAGTGAAAATGGGGTAAACTTCATTTTCTTAAATGGGAACACCCAATTTTTATTGCATATTATGATTCTTCATCAAAAACAAACTGCTAACTAAAACATTTTTTTCTAAGATATTACCTTGCAGTAGTTATGAGCATTTGAACTTTTATACAGCTGCTACATTACAAGTGCATGAGTCTGTGGATATCTGTGAAGTTCATTGGAAGAAAAGGAAGAAAAATGCTAAAAAAAAAAAAAAACTCATTGTGAAACTATTATTTGATGGAATCATTCTTTTTCTTAAAATAATGAACTGATACAAAAATTTGTGGGCAGCTTCAGGTCATCTGAAGATGTTAATTTTCATACAAGGCAAAGAATGTGGATTCAGTTAGATAGAGTAGGGGCCACATTATGCACAGATTGTAATAAATTATTTAAACAGGATGTTGCTGCTTAGCATGTTTTATTTATACTGTTTTTCATATAGGCAAGTGCTGTGCTAGTCCTTCAGTTTCATTCAATTGCATAATATGAGAGTGGTCATAATGTTTTGGCTCTTCAGTGCACTGTGTATTTTATACATATAGGAGAAATTAATTAATTCTATTTGTTGTTGTGTGAAAAATATCATAGTTCTATAAATTCAAATATTTAAGTTGGAAAAACAAAAATCATTTTGCATGAAGTATTATGATGCTTCAAAAATTTCATTTATTTATTTTAGCTACTTAACTAATAAAAATTTAACAATAAAATATTTGTTAGTTTATTTCATATTAAATGTTTTTTGAAATAATATTGTAATATAATAAAGATAAATCTCTCATGATTTCTAAATATCTATATATAATTTAGATGCATATTTGTAACTGATTATTATGTAATAAGTATTAATAATTAGTTTTTCATCTATATTCTGATTATTTCATTAAATTTTAATTGTCATGCTTAGAAAAAGTATATGAAAAAATTCTTTAAAAATATTATTTTAAATAATTATTTAATGTGATGATGTCACAATGCTGGGGTGCAATTTTTAATAAAATTTTAACTTAATTAATTGAGACCTTTTGCCCCTAAGCTTTCCATATATATAAGGTCTCAATTTTTATGTATCTAACTCTGTTCTTGAGATTAACAAAGAACAGATGGACAATAGTGAGAATTTATAAGTTTGCAAGTTCAATAAATCTTTTTAAAAATTTCTTTTATAAAATGATAGGTTTATTGTTCAAAACATACTTTTTTATAGTATTTTAATTGTTTAAATCTGATATTTATTTTAGCTGACTTATGATTCTGCTATGTTGTAACATATTATAAGCACTCTTGAAATAATTTTTTATTCTGATGTAACATAAAAACAAATACTTTATATTTGAATAACTTTTATTATAAATAATTTTTTTTTAATGCAAAATTTGGCAAATAAATTTATAAGCTTTATAGAATTTATTTTGAATAAGACAAATGGCATTTTATGATGCAAATGATTTTGATTTAAATGAGGCAAACTGAAGCATTTTATTTTAAATGTTGAAAATTGTTTTCCAGAATACATGCTAGCTAGTGCACATGAGTTGTCGGTTCTGTTGTATGCAATTATGCATCTACAAGGACATTTGGTTGAGCAGTTTTTGTAAATTATTCTTTTTAATTTTGTAAAAAAAAATATTATTAATAGTAAATTTACATTGAAAAATTGTTGCTTTCCAACTATTCTTTTTTTCTGTAAAACAGATGGATAATGTAAAATCTTATAGCTGATAAGGCTTTATTTGCATTTATTATAGTGAGCTACTTCAGCAACATTTACTTACGTCAATCAGTTGACAGAAGCATAAAATAATACAAAATTACTTTAAAAAGCTGACAACTGTAGTGATAGTTCATTGGAGAATTTAAAAATATCTTTTTCAGCAGGCCATATCTTGAAAATAAAGTGCATTTTGAAAAATCTTTACAGAGGATTTTAAGCTTACTTTTGCTCTTAGCATCTATCACTAAAATATTGGCATAGAGTTCAATTACACACTATAATATTTCAAAAATTCAGATCAAATTGAATGGTTTAATTCATACTTATCTTGTTAATTAAAATCATATTTTGTTTTTAACAGATTTATAATGTCTGATCCAATTAATATTCCAACTGGAAACACTGATAAGTTAAATGTACCATCATCTCCCACAAAATCACCTCACGGTTCCTGCCCTGCAAAATTTCAAATTCCAAGTCCTGTCATTACAAGACGCACTCGGACATATTCTGCGTAAGTATTAAATACACAGAGTGGTGCATATGTATGTTCTGGTAGAAAAATTTAAATTATCCAAAAAATACAAATGCAATTAATTAAGTAGCAAGTGCATTTTAAAATACAATTTTCAAAATGTTTTTCTTCAGACACAATCAAATTTTGTAGGCATTTATAAAATTGGTCAGTAATACAGTGTCTGACTACTACTGAAATTCTTTTTGTTGCATCTCTGTTGCATTCCTGAAGAATTTATAGGTTTTTGATTGGAAACACTTTATCTTTAGTTTCTCCCATATTGCGAAGTCTAATTGGGGAATTTAATTGAGGGTTGTATGGAGACAATTTGTTACTGCCTCCAGCCTTTTCCAGTGCATTCAGAGCTTTCAGTTTGGGACCAAATACTTGTTAGGTCATCAAACACTTCTTGAATATCATCTATTCCTCTATCAAGCTCTCAAACATAATTTGTTTCTAACAAACTGTTTAAAAATACAGTATTTTCCCACAAGGATATACATATATGCCACCCTTTATGTATTATTTGTCATATTATTTATAATGATTTTAAACAGGATTATTGGTTTATATAAGTTAATTTATGAATAAGTTTATTTCAAATAATAACTTCTAACTTAAGTCATTTGTTTTTAATTAGTGTTGGTTTAATAAAAAAAATTAACCAATTAAATGTTATTGTATTCATTAGATAATTTGATTGTGATAATGATAATTAATAATGAATATTTTTTATTCATTATTATTATTATAAATATTTTTTTTATTCCTTATTAAGATCAAATTAGTTAATTAATATTTTTTATTGAGATATTATTATTATTATTTATTGTAATTGAGAATAGAGAACAAAGAATAAAGCCCATTAGGATTGGTGATAACTGCCCTCCAATTTAACAATAAAAACACAATAAAAAAAAAACAAAGATAAATAATAAAATGTACAACAGATAAAATTATATAAAAACTTTAAAAAAAATAATAAATTTGTAAAAAAGAAAATATTAAAATATTCTAAGGTAAGATTTAAAGAGTAAAAATACGTTTAAAAGCTAAATTTAAAAAACTTAAATTCCGAAAAGCTAAACTTTAAAAGAAAGGAAATGGAATATGAAAAAAGACATGAACATCTAATAAGAAGAAAATATAGTGGGTGATCGGTCAACAAACAATTTGGACTACGAACAAATCAGATAACGAACACTTTCACGAAAGATTTTTATGTTCGGACAACAAACACATGTTTGAATAATGAACACCTGACAGAACAAACACAAGAAGAGATAATGCATTTAAGATTTGTAAAACTATATTTTACTGGCATTTATGAATGGTTTATGGAACAAGACTTTCACAATTATATTTATAACCTTTTTGCACTAGTTGATTTCTGTTCTCTGAATTGTAAGTGCTTTTCGTTCAGAAAAGCACTTGTAGTGCCCAAGCACTATGTATAGTTTATTCTGTTTATTTTATATATATGACATGTGTCATGTCGGGTTTTGTTGTAAAATTCCATTTTATTTTATGGTACCGGATTGTGAACGGGTTGGACTCATCGCGCTTGTTGATTGGTCAGTGACCAACATCACGTGTGTTTCACATCACACCCAATGGCGGGAAGTATAAATATTGGAACTCCCATTTAAAAGAGGACTTTTTTCCGGTTCCTGGTTCTTGAGCGATCAACAGACTACGTGGTATAAGAATAAGGAAGAAGAGAGGGACTGACACGTGTGAACTTTCAAATGAAGAGAACGGAATCCAAATCCATCGTATAGAATACGCCCGTTGTTCATGAAATAAGTTCAAGATATTAAAACAGGAAACATCGAAGGACCTCCGAAAACCATTATTTTTGTCAGTATGTTGATTATTATGTCTTTTTAAAAGGAGAAGTAATATCTTCAATCCTTTTTCTCGTATAGTGTGCGTGTTCCCTAATCTTGTAAATTTAAATAGATTTATGTGCCTCTCATGTTTTAGAACAGATGAATGTTTTGTAAATATTTATGATTAAACCTTTGCTACTAAAATTTCACCAAATTTGTAAAGTCCTTAATTTAATTTGTCCGTGCCTTGACCCTCTAACATCGCCTAACAGACCTAGGTCTATTGGGGCTTAACACACTTACAAAAATTCAGATTTTTATTTTTAAAAATCTGTAAATATTATGGGGCCTAAAAAGAGTGGAATGACAGGAACTGTTCATTATAGAAACTTACCAAGAGATAATAGCCAAGGTAGAGAATGGATAGAAGATATCTGGTGTTTCTAGACAGTATGGCTTCAACAGATCTGCAGTAGGCACAATCTTAGCTAAGAAAGATATAATCAAAAAGACTCAAATATATAAAGGAGTAACAAAAATCACATCTGAAAAACAAAGATGTGCCATCTATGAAAAAATGGAGAGATTGCTTTTAGTTTGTTATTACATATAAATAAACATAGTAAGAAATGATATAATTTATTTATTTTTTGGGGTCTTCAGAATGAATTAATCAAATTCTCATAAAAATCTATTGTAAATCGATAATCGGTTAACAAACTATTCAGATGTGAACATTGTCTTTGAATGGATTATGTTCATTAACTGATCACCCACTGTATATTAACTCTAAAAAATTAGCATATAAAACTTAAGAAGAGTCATAAAAACAGTTTTTATGACTGATTTATAAAATCTTACTGTTAGATGTCTTAGTTTAATTTATTGTTATTGTTAACTTTTTGTTAAATAAATGAAAAAAATGATATTACACAATTATGAAATAATGGTGTAATATCATTTCTTAAACGGTGTAATGTCATATCACAAAACAAATTTACTCTTTGTTGTTCTAATCCTTTAAACATATGACAAAAATTTGTTTATTTACTCAAATGTTTTTAACAATCAATGGTAGCCAGTTACATTGATGGATTTATTTTATACTAGAAGGATGTGTCCATTTTAAAACAAGTCTGATTCAAAACAAATTTTTATAAAGGAGTCATGTTTAATAACATAATACATTCTTATTAAGGAGGTTGCAGTTGACGTTTTCATCGCGAAAAAGTGTATGTTGGACATTTAATGCCGCCTTCCTGTAAGCCTAGAAGTTTGACAATGGCATTTGGAACGTCGAGCACGATTCCACTGACGTTCCAAATGCCATTGTTAAACTTCTAGGCTTACAGGAAGGCGGCACTAAATGTCCGACATACACGTTTTCGCGATGAAAATGTCAACTGCAACCTCTCTATTAACCATCCATTATCTTGACTGCTGGAATATTGAGTATTTTTATATGTTTTTATCATAAATGCAAAGTTTTTAATTTTTAATGCTTATGATTGGATTTATTTATTAATTGTTAATTGAAAATAGTGTTTCTTGGTTGTTTAGTATTTAAGAGTTTCTGTCAGTTTAAAAATTTATATACAGTTGACCCCCCTATAATTACGGTCCCTATAATTACGATTCCTATAAAACTACGAAAAAATATACGTATTTTGGAAATGTTGAGTCAGATTAGTGTAGAATCGATTAATTTTATGGAAGAAAACCTTTCAATCAGCCGTAGTCCGTAAACTTAACACATGTCGGGCTGTGATTGGAACGACTTGTAAGAAATCGGATTCCTAATAATTGGAACGTATCTATATCTTATAGGGGGGGGTCGACTGTACAGTAGAATCTCATTTTAAAGGATTGTGGAACAACATATTTTTTGGATTAATGGATTTTTTCTCAGGTCCTGCCAGATCGATGTAATTCTACCTCCTTTTAACAGATCCATAACATGGAATAACAGATTTTTTCTAACCTCGTTTATAGTAAATTTTGTTTTTTTTCAACATTAGTTAATATTTGGTTGTGTCTGAGAATTTGTATAGTTCAATGATGCACTTGTTACATCTCAGATATGTGCTGTAAATTGAAAAATTGTACAAAGAGAGTCAGCAGTTTTATGTAATTGGAGGACGAGCCATCTACCTAGTAAACATTCTGATACTGGTCCAAGTGTAGTACTGAAATTGTAGTACTTTATCAGGCCGTTGAGTCTTTCCAAGTTGTGAAGACTTTCTTGATGAGTTTGAGCATAAATGAAAAGACTATACATGACATTGCTTATGTGATACTCCGAATTTTAACAAAAATCAATTGTCGATGTCGTCATACTTGCTCAACAATTGTTGTCCTTAGCTACCTGAGAAAATCTCCATTTACATTTTCTCGATGGTGAAAGCGATGCATTCCTGTGATCTGCTGACCTCTTAGCCAGGTGATATCGCACTGATATCAAATTTGACGGCCGAAAAGGGAGTCGTCACCAGTCACTCTTGGATTAGTCATAAAAAATTTTCCTGTGTCAGTGCCAATCATACTCTGTCAGATTTTCATGTTACTTTCCACTGTGCCTAGAAGAACTTTCTTGATCCAGACCAGTCCAACGATCCAAATCCTCACCCTCTAGATCCTAATCTCAACCTCAATTCAAGAATCTCAAATCAAGAATCATCACCATCAACGCAGGTATTTCCTGATTCATGGACAATTGTAAACTCTCTCTCTCACGATTGCTAGCTAGATATATATTAGATAAGAAATAATAATTAGCTAATAAAATATATGGTTGATATATAATTCAATATATTGTATCATGTATTCCTCTTCATTGAAAATAAATGGGTATTTAGTTGTTAACTTTCGTATCTGAGTATTTTACTACCAGTATGCTCTCTCTCAACCCAAATTTAGATCCTGGATCCAATCACCCGCACACGTGGCTGCTCGCGTGATTGAATCAACACGCTGTCTTGGTTTCCATGTCAATCAGGACACGGTGGTGTCAGTCCTGACAGGGCATCAAAGAGGTGCCGACCCTCCAGTCACACTTATATCAAGCGGTTGTATTCAAAAGGCAATGAAGCAGCATCAAAACAAATCAATGTGGCAAGTTTTTTAACAAATTGTGACATCAAATGAAATGCTAATGAGTGTACCATTACATAATTTGCTTCTTTTTGTTCTTACAATATATACAGTTTCCATCATCTTTGTCATGAACACATGGCATAATATGCAATTTTGTAACATATGTGTTTCTATAGAATAAAGAATAGAGATCTCAAGAGACTGAATAATTTCAAATACAGATATTTCTTATATGCAGAGGATCAAAAACCAAAAATTTTTTGAACAACAGATATTTTCATGGGTGTGCAGGAAATCTATTGTTCTCAATATAATGGATCTTGGTGACCAAAGTGATTCATTAAAACAAGATCTACTGTATATATTAAAATAAATCCATTTGTTTTATCTATATATTAAAAAGTTTAGATTAGTTGTTACTTTATGCCTTATAAATAACAGTAAAATAATAATTATATTATCAAATTTTAAGCTAGTGAAATTAACTGTTAGGTGTTACATTCAAGTCTTTGATTTCAGTAATGTAATTTATAGTTGACTAAAATATTTTGACGTTTTGAGGTTAATTATACAAAACTTGGTTGTAAAAACCCAGTATTATATATAATTTATTAATTTTTATTGATGTAATAATTTTTTTAATAATGAAATAAATTTGTTAATATAAGTTAGTACTATAAAAATATTTTTTATTTTTACAGTTCTGAAAGAGCTGCTGCAAATCCAGTGGAATATGGTAAAGTAAAATATTTTTGTCGGCAACGTGGACATGGCTTTATAACACCTAGCACTGGTGCTGAAGATATATTCTTTCATATCTCAGAGTAAGTAATTTTTAAGTTAAGTTAAATAAGTAATATAAAATTTATTTAATTAATATATTTTTAGTATATACAGTATTTTTGCTTTCCCAGCTCTGTTATACAGTATATAACAGAAAGAAAGCATGGTGATCAGTCAAAAAGTGACCCCCAAGATTTTAAAATTTTTGGACTCAGGAGACCGTGAAACTTTGAGAAATGCAAAAAAATTTGGTTTTTTTTTCTATGTGTATGGATGTAAGTCTGTGTGTGTGTGTGGAGGGGATCCTCCACAATTTTGTTCACCCTCTTTGAAAGCTTAATAACTCTTTTACTTTTTGTTGAAAATTTCAGAAAGTTTGCAGGGAGGTTTGTGTGTTAGGAGGAGTGATGTTATTAAATTTTAGTGATTGAAGGTCAACTGGGTGGGGAGCTAAAGGGGTCCTGTGTCTTATCTCAAGTACGGTTAGATTTGATGATAATTTTACTCATTATTAGCATTCACAATTTTTTATGAAACCTAATTATTAAATTAGTCTATTTATAGCTCAAAAATAATTTAGCAGTTTGTTTCGCTTATATTATATATATTTTGGGTTAATGTTATATTTATTCATTTTATGCAATCATATGAGTAACTTGGCATATCATTACTGTATATTTCTGATTTATAGAACCATATCATGATTTTCTATGTCCTGATAAAAATAGAAAGAGTTACAGTCAAATGGCAATATAAAGAAAGAATTAACTAATCCACTGTCAAATTCTTTACATCATTTTTAAATCATATAGTAATTAAATAATATACTACTATGTATATACAAACAATAGTTCAAACAATGCAGAATTTTGATTATGAAGAAATCACCATGTGTTCTCATTTCAAATCCAATGAATTTGTTAATTGCAAATATGGAAATAGAAATCTTTTCAAATCCTTTTTTTTTTTTTTTAATCATTAATACTGAAAGCTTTTAGAATTAAAAATTATAAATACTTCATTTTTGAAATAATTTAAATATTTTTTAAAGTTATAACTGTAATAATAATCTTATAGTAACTTTGAAGATTTTCAAATTGAAAGAATTATCTAATTTAAAATATCAATTAATATATGGTATATTAGATCTGTTTGTGCTTTCCAATTTTGTTTAGTTGGAATATTTTAAAGAAATTAATGCAATATTAACATGTATTTTAATATACTTCAAAATTATCACTTATAGAATTTTTCATTTTTTAGCATTGAAGGTGAATATGCACCATGTCCAGGAGATGATGTATCATATAAACTCTGCTTAATTCCACCCAAGAATGAAAAAATGCAAGCAGTTCATGTTGTTATTACTAATTTAGGACCAGGCACTCATGAGCGTTGGGATTGCCCTCCTTCTCCTATTGCTGATTTTACTTCAACTCATAATTAAGGAAATTATTAAAATTGCCATTAAAAAATCTTGCTGTTGAAACTTTCTAGTAGTGAATTATAATAATAATAATAATAAGAATAATAATAATGATAGAGCTATATTTTACTTTTTGAATTTAGATAAAATATTTACTAAATATTTGATGTTTTTGTAGAATGATCTAACAGATGCATTTATAATGAAAAGTTATCTCTGAAAAATATGAAAAAATTTACTAGCTAATGAAAATAGTAATTTTAAAAAATATAGAAAATTTATGAAGAAAAAATATAGCAGTTGAAATTTCAAATTCTATTTTAAATTAAAACTGTCATATTCAGAAATATTTGAAATATAATAAGAAAAGAAACTGGAACATCTTCATAAAGAAACTTGTTTTTTAAAATGTTTTGTACTTTTAGGAACATACTTTTTAATCTATGTTTATAATCCATTGAAAGCATTATTTTAAGAGATTTTTCTACTGTCTATAATGAAATTTTTAGAAAATTTTTTTATACTCTTTTTTAAAAATTTAAACTTTTTGTCCATAAATTTATATTTATCCAATTTGATAATAATCTCCATACTGAAATTGCAAATATTTCTGACACACTATTTCTTATGTAGAAACTAACAGTCAAATTCATATCAGCACCAATATTTTAATTTATACTGTTTTTGATTTTGTATCAATTTTTCAAAAATGTGTGCTGACCATTCATTTATACTTTCATATGTCAAAATATATCCTAAAGTTCGAATGTTGCATTTAGACAAGAGTTATCAACTTTTCAGATTTTCAACTATCGAAATATTTTTGAAAGTAAATAAATAAATTTTTTTTATTAAGATATACTTTTTTATAACTGATTAGATTATTTATAAAAAGTATTAATAAACTTTTATATGTAAAACAAAATTTTACATTCGTAAATTGATATTTTATTTCAAAAAATTGAATTTACTGATACTTTTTAAAATTTATTATAACAAAGATAAAATATTTTAAAATTGAATTACGTATCTTTGAAGTAGACAAAAAATGTTTTAATATTTTAAGAATTATGTAAACATAAGAATTTCTTTAGTTTCTAAAATTCTTCTATTTTTACATATTAAGTTTAAAATCAGAAAAACATAGATGATAATTTTTATTGAATACATTAATTATACATTTCAAAATTTTAAATACAGGGAATGGTAAAATCATATTTGAATAAATTTTAAAATTGTTTATTAATGTATATTTGTAAAGGTTAAAGAAATCAGGTTGTTGCTGTTTATATGCTCAGTATTGCTGATAATTAACTTTGTAGTGGTCTATCCTTTACTTACATTGTTTTTATTACCATAACAATTTATTTTTATTACTATATTTTTAAATGTATCATATTGCAAATCTGTTTAAGCTATTAAATGCTGTATTTAGAAATGATCTGTACTTGCTTATGAAAATTATATATAAGAATAAGTATGAAATCTTATGATATTGTTATAGTAAAGATAAAACTGCTTATTTGCATATTATTTCTTTGTGAAGAAAATTGAATCTGATTAGCCATTATTAATAGTTTATTTATAACTAAATTTTAGGTAAAATATCTTTTATTATATTGATTTTTGATAAATTTATAAATGAATGAATAATATCAATGTTTTAATACAGTTTGACGACAATATTTGAGATAATCAAATGGATTCAGTTTTCTTCATTTGCTATCATACATATCAATAAAATTGCTAATTGCAAATGCTAAAAAAGAAAAAAGTATTTAATAAATCAATATACTACTGTTATAAGTGTGTTTGAGATATCTTGTTTTAATATATTATAAAAATATATTTAAATTCTTAATTGTAAATTTACTTATTTAGTATAAATATAAAATTTTTGTAATGAGTTAATATTTATTACTATAACAATTTTGCAATTTTAATTATAAAATAGGATTGCGATTTATAATTTAACTGATGATGCTTCTTTTTCATACTCAAATTAATCTTATAAAAATTATTAAAATTTTATTGTAGTAATTGAAGCTTCAATATATTTCCATATAAATATAAAAACTGTGCATAAATATCATAAAACATGTGTTCTTATTAATACATTCCATGTTAAAATGCAAATTGGAAATCAATATTGTATGCATTTTTAGGGTCTTTTTTCATTTTATAAAAGTTAAAAGCTGTAGAATTGCTGAAACATTTGTTTAAATAAAAATATTTATTTTGAAAATATACATTTAATTTAATTTTGGAATGATGAATAGCCAGATATTGAACTATTGATAGATATCTTTAAAGTTTACAATCAGTTAACTTGAATTAAACTTCATAAAAATACAAACAAAACATAACCTTACTTGTATAGTCTACATTTTTTAATTTTTACTGTCTCTTTTTTCTATGCCCATAATGAGTTTGACTAAACCACAATGTGGTTGGTCAGGTTATGAGGGACAGGGCCTGAAATATCTTGGACAGACTACCTTCAAAAAATTGCCAGAGTTGCTCATCCAAATTCAGATCCCCTGAGCAGTAGGCTGACCTCAACTGTCTCAGCCATCTGGCTGTCCACTTTATATAATAATGTTACATTTTATGTTACTTGTTCATTTATAAAAAGGGAGACAAATTACTTAGTTATTAATATACATATATACTGAAAAAACTTTTCTCTTTAAAATAGTCATAAATCATAAAAGATTGTCCGTATTCCCTGTACACTTTATATAGCACCAAAGTTAATCAAAGCAATAAATATATGTAAAATACTTTGTAGAAATTGGAATAAATAGTTCTTATTTTTTTTGTTTGAAAAAATTAACTAAATAATTTTTTTAAATTTTCAATTCTTCAAATGATTTGTCTGCAACACACACTTTTATATGCATATTAAAAATGTAGTTGCTCTCAAAAGTCGTAAATACAATTAATGCCATAACTAGATAATGTATTTAAAAAATTTCAAAATTATACTAATTTTATATCAGCAAATTTTTATTTTGTCAAGAAATATAATTATGAATATGGGCTTTGATTGTGGAAAGGTATTTTCTGAAATGGATTTAATAAAGTTTCTGAAACAATTAAGCATAATTAAATTTTCCAATTTATATTAATACATTTGAATTTCAAAATAATTTTAAATTTCTTGTGTATTTTAGAATAATTCTTGAATTGTAGTCAATGTTGTTTTTAGTACAGAATATACAGAATGAAAATTTAGTNAAAATATTAAAATATTCTAAGGTAAGATTTAAAGAGTAAAAATACGTTTAAAAGCTAAATTTAAAAAACTTAAATTCCGAAAAGCTAAACTTTAAAAGAAAGGAAATGGAATATGAAAAAAGACATGAACATCTAATAAGAAGAAAATATAGTGGGTGATCGGTCAACAAACAATTTGGACTACGAACAAATCAGATAACGAACACTTTCACGAAAGATTTTTATGTTCGGACAACAAACACATGTTTGAATAATGAACACCTGACAGAACAAACACAAGAAGAGATAATGCATTTAAGATTTGTAAAACTATATTTTACTGGCATTTATGAATGGTTTATGGAACAAGACTTTCACAATTATATTTATAACCTTTTTGCACTAGTTGATTTCTGTTCTCTGAATTGTAAGTGCTTTTCGTTCAGAAAAGCACTTGTAGTGCCCAAGCACTATGTATAGTTTATTCTGTTTATTTTATATATATGACATGTGTCATGTCGGGTTTTGTTGTAAAATTCCATTTTATTTTATGGTACCGGATTGTGAACGGGTTGGACTCATCGCGCTTGTTGATTGGTCAGTGACCAACATCACGTGTGTTTCACATCACACCCAATGGCGGGAAGTATAAATATTGGAACTCCCATTTAAAAGAGGACTTTTTTCCGGTTCCTGGTTCTTGAGCGATCAACAGACTACGTGGTATAAGAATAAGGAAGAAGAGAGGGACTGACACGTGTGAACTTTCAAATGAAGAGAACGGAATCCAAATCCATCGTATAGAATACGCCCGTTGTTCATGAAATAAGTTCAAGATATTAAAACAGGAAACATCGAAGGACCTCCGAAAACCATTATTTTTGTCAGTATGTTGATTATTATGTCTTTTTAAAAGGAGAAGTAATATCTTCAATCCTTTTTCTCGTATAGTGTGCGTGTTCCCTAATCTTGTAAATTTAAATAGATTTATGTGCCTCTCATGTTTTAGAACAGATGAATGTTTTGTAAATATTTATGATTAAACCTTTGCTACTAAAATTTCACCAAATTTGTAAAGTCCTTAATTTAATTTGTCCGTGCCTTGACCCTCTAACATCGCCTAACAGACCTAGGTCTATTGGGGCTTAACACACTTACAAAAATTCAGATTTTTATTTTTAAAAATCTGTAAATATTATGGGGCCTAAAAAGAGTGGAATGACAGGAACTGTTCATTATAGAAACTTACCAAGAGATAATAGCCAAGGTAGAGAATGGATAGAAGATATCTGGTGTTTCTAGACAGTATGGCTTCAACAGATCTGCAGTAGGCACAATCTTAGCTAAGAAAGATATAATCAAAAAGACTCAAATATATAAAGGAGTAACAAAAATCACATCTGAAAAACAAAGATGTGCCATCTATGAAAAAATGGAGAGATTGCTTTTAGTTTGTTATTACATATAAATAAACATAGTAAGAAATGATATAATTTATTTATTTTTTGGGGTCTTCAGAATGAATTAATCAAATTCTCATAAAAATCTATTGTAAATCGATAATCGGTTAACAAACTATTCAGATGTGAACATTGTCTTTGAATGGATTATGTTCATTAACTGATCACCCACTGTATATTAACTCTAAAAAATTAGCATATAAAACTTAAGAAGAGTCATAAAAACAGTTTTTATGACTGATTTATAAAATCTTACTGTTAGATGTCTTAGTTTAATTTATTGTTATTGTTAACTTTTTGTTAAATAAATGAAAAAAATGATATTACACAATTATGAAATAATGGTGTAATATCATTTCTTAAACGGTGTAATGTCATATCACAAAACAAATTTACTCTTTGTTGTTCTAATCCTTTAAACATATGACAAAAATTTGTTTATTTACTCAAATGTTTTTAACAATCAATGGTAGCCAGTTACATTGATGGATTTATTTTATACTAGAAGGATGTGTCCATTTTAAAACAAGTCTGATTCAAAACAAATTTTTATAAAGGAGTCATGTTTAATAACATAATACATTCTTATTAAGGAGGTTGCAGTTGACGTTTTCATCGCGAAAAAGTGTATGTTGGACATTTAATGCCGCCTTCCTGTAAGCCTAGAAGTTTGACAATGGCATTTGGAACGTCGAGCACGATTCCACTGACGTTCCAAATGCCATTGTTAAACTTCTAGGCTTACAGGAAGGCGGCACTAAATGTCCGACATACACGTTTTCGCGATGAAAATGTCAACTGCAACCTCTCTATTAACCATCCATTATCTTGACTGCTGGAATATTGAGTATTTTTATATGTTTTTATCATAAATGCAAAGTTTTTAATTTTTAATGCTTATGATTGGATTTATTTATTAATTGTTAATTGAAAATAGTGTTTCTTGGTTGTTTAGTATTTAAGAGTTTCTGTCAGTTTAAAAATTTATATACAGTTGACCCCCCTATAATTACGGTCCCTATAATTACGATTCCTATAAAACTACGAAAAAATATACGTATTTTGGAAATGTTGAGTCAGATTAGTGTAGAATCGATTAATTTTATGGAAGAAAACCTTTCAATCAGCCGTAGTCCGTAAACTTAACACATGTCGGGCTGTGATTGGAACGACTTGTAAGAAATCGGATTCCTAATA